AGTGAGAAATGCTAAAAATCTTTTTACTTCTGCAAAGGAAGTAGGCAGTAGAGGATCCCACAGATCCTGAAACAGCTCAGTCACCCAGGAACAACTAGCCCAGAAACTGGTACAGCTTAGTCATGTATTTAAAACCTGACTTTTTAAATGAATATTTCCATTTCTAAAGCACTCTGCAAAAAAACCCACCCTCTCATCTGTCCTGTGATGCAGGTAGTGTCCCCTCCTTAGGTGAAAGAGGGAATCCTTTCTCAAACATGTCCAGTGGGTGAAAGGGGATGCAGCAGGGGGACAAGGCATCATCCCCTTCCAATCCCTCACTCATTGAGGAGCTTGCTGAGTGTCCAGGAAGGAGGGGCACGTTTACCAGCTCAGACTGCTGCACTGGGGGCTGGAGAGAAATATTTCTGGACTGGAGCAAACGTGATGCTCATCTCTTTCCATCTCCAGGTGTGCTGTAGGCAAAATGGTCGGGTTGAGTAGCTTTGCTCTTAAAACCTGATCCCAGTTTGCTCTCCAAAGCTGACAATCCTGTCTATCCCTCGTGTGAGATGGGAGCCCATGATGCTGCAGTCACCTTCTCTGCAAAAGAGGTGTCAGTGTGGGCGCTGCTCCCAGGAAGGGGCCAAGCACAAGCTGAAGTGGTGCATCCTTCGTGTAGGGGGGGTGTCACTGGGTACCTCGGAGAGCATCAGAAGCCTCCTCCTTACAAAGAATTGTGCTCCCCTTCCTCTGATCTGCCTGGCAAGAGGTATTCCTGCTGAAGGTGGTCCCCAGCCGCTGTCGGGCTCTTTGTCGGATGCTCCTCATTCGTGACACGCAGTCCCTGCCCGTGACCACGTAGAGCAGGGGGTTGAGGGCACTGTTGAGGCTGGCCAGGCCCCGGGTCACCTGGTAGGAAATGTAGATGTTCTTTGAAGCCTGCGTGCAGAACCCTTGCAGCTGCCAGACACGAGACAGCAAATTGAGGTTCCTGAAGATGTGGTAGGGGAGGAAGCAGATGGAGAAGAGAACCATCACGAGAACCACCAGCCTGATGCTTCTCCTCCTGAGCTCGAGGTCCATGGTGTCGTTCCTGCAGAGCACCAGCACCACGTGGCAGTAGCAGCCGATGATGATGAGGAAGGGGACGATGAACCCGGTCACGGTGACGGCCAGGGTGTAGGGCAGGTACTCGTCCAGGCTGCTGCGCCCCGTCGTGTCGTGGCACCGCGTGCCCGTGCCGTCCGTCTTGCTGAAGGCAAGGTCAGGAGCCACCTGGGCAACGACCCAGGCCCAGACAGCCACGCTGAGCCACACCGAGGAGGCGGCCCCCTGGCACCTGCCCCGCGCCTTCAGCGGGTGCACGATGCCCAGGTAGCGGTGCACGCTGATGCAGGTGAGGAAGCCGATGCTGGCGTAGAGGTTGAGGTGGAAGAGGCTGCGGGTGGTCTGGCACCAGCCCCGCCCGAAGAGCCACACTCTGCCCCGCAGGTAGTAGCTGACGAGGAAGGGCAGGGTGCTGACGTACAGCAGGTCTGCCAGCCCCAGGTTGCCCACCAGCAGGCTGAGGGGTTGGCGGGCGCCCTGCCGTGCCCCTGTGCAGAAGTGCCACAGCCCCATCCCGTTGCCCACCAGCCCCAGCGGGATCACTGTCAGGTACACGGCGGGCAGGAAGCGCTGGGCGAAGGCGGCATCCACAGGGCACGGAGCCCCGCTGCCATTGCCGGGCCACGTGGCAGCTGCCATGGCCGTGCTAGCGCTCGGAGGTGCCGGTGCCCACAGCCGGGTCGGTTCAGCAGCGCTGTGCCCAGAGCCAGCCCTGGCAGCGGCGTGTCCTCTGGCACGGGCTGTGGCTGCCCTCCCCTCCCCGCTCCTGCTGAACCTGGCGTGGGCCTTTGCAGTGCTGGGCTTTTCCCCAGAGCCCAGGGAGGATGTGGTGAGGGCGGCCCCAGCACAGAGCATGGGTGGTGGTGGTGGTGGCTCCTGCCACTCCTTCGGCGCCTCCCACCAGCACACTTCAGATATTTTGAGCCGGGCGCCAGGGACACCGCAGCCCCCTGGCTATTTTGGGTGCTGTGTGTGCCTGGAGGGAGCGGGAGGCAGGGAGCAGGGAGGCGGGAGAGGGTCTCTGCTGCAGAGATGTCTGATGAGGAGGGATGATGCTTTCAGCTCGTTCCTGTCCTGTCCTGCTTGGGGTGAAGAGAAATCTCCCAGTTTTCCAGGCTGAGGGGCTGGAAGCCTTCCCTCCATGAGCTGGCCTGGGACTTCCATTCCTGACAGCCTTTCTCCTGGCCCCAGCACTCAGAAATACCAGCAGCAGAGCTAAGGCAGAGACTGGCAGCATCCCACGGGGCTTGTGCTGCCATTCCTGCTCCGGCAGAGCTGGTGGCACTGGCAGTGCCAGCAGGCAGAGGTGTGGCAGGCTGCCTGTCCCCAGCACGGGCAGCAGTGAGCCCCACTCCCTGCTGAAGAGCTGTCTCTGCGATACAGCTGGCCCTGCTGCCTAGTTCTTTATCCATCCCTAAATACAACTCCCCTTTTCCCCCGCCTCCTTTGAGTGGTTTAGACCCACGCGGGGTCTAAACATGCAAGATGGGCGGTGACCTTCCTCTCCTGCCTTCCCTGTCGCAGGGGGTGTCACACAGGACACACCCAGACACTGTGAAATTGGGGTAAGAGCTAAAACCAGCGACCCCAAAGCAGACCCCAAGGAAAGGCAGCCTCAACTGCATTGCTGAGCAGCTGCTGCTTCATAAACGGGACCAGAAATAACTCTATATCTCCAGGCCTGGGAATCGACAGGGCAGTAATCAGCAGGGTTTACCCTGGCAAACCACACGAAAAAACAACTTTGGGAAAACAACTTCAGGTGAAAAGGGCCAGGCCCAGGAAGGGCAACGTCCACCTGCTTTCCTGGAGCTGAATCAAAGCAGGGGGTGGGAGGAGGCTGATAGCTCAACTGCCGGGGGGGAGGAGGAGGGGTGGGTCCTGCCGAGCCATCCCGGCTGTCTGTCCCTCCTCGGGAGCAGCCGGACATCTCCACTGGACCATCCTCGGGCGTGGCAGTTCAGGGACAGGGTGAGGAAGCCCAAGACGCAGATGGGGTGGTGGTAGCTGCTTTTTGGGAGTATCATTGCCTACTTCAAAAAGTGCTTGCTGGAGCAGATAACTGATGGGAAATGCTGTCTGTTATTTCCTGCCTTTGTAATAAAATCTCAGCGCTACAGGCATGGTGGAGTGGCAGATTGAAGAAGCTGTTTCCATGGGGTGAGCTCCTGCAAGCAGATAACCTCAGTGATGGGCTTCCAGGAAAATTTAAACAAGGCCCAATTTTTTAAAATTGAGCACTGCACTCTTGTGCTCAGTTTCTGAAGGTGTTTTGCTCTAATGAGGGGCTCATCCAGCCCTTTCTCAGCCCTCTCTGAGCCGTGATCTGCTGCTCACCACTGGCTCGGGAGTGTGGCTGGCAAATCCACGCTGTGTCTGTGTGCAAGTTGTGGCCTTAGGCCTTAAGGATAAGGGTGAATTTTCTTCTGGTTCCGAGATTTTTATCTTTACAGGTTACCAAAATCACCTGCGGATCCCCCCCACGAGCAGGCAAAGACAGGACCCTGCGTCAGAGACTGTCATAAACGTGAGCCTCAAATAGCTGTGTTTCCAGGGTAGCAGGGCTTTAGAGGGAATGGCAAATATTGTGAGACTGGCAATCAAATTGCAAGAGTTGCTTTCCCCCCTATTCTTACGGAGAAATAACTCTGATTTATTTGGAATCATTAATTCATTATTTAGATGTTTTCTGCTTAGTGAATCGGGGAGAAGTGGCATCCTGCAGGGGAAAAAAAAAAAAAAAACGACAATTATAGCAGAGGTGCACTGAGTCATTTGTTCGAGGTGAGAATTACAGGTTGCTTCTTAAAAAGTGATCTTTTGATTTTGACCATCACCCAGAGGTGGCTGGGCAGGATCTGGGAGGGGGTGACAGCCCTGCCAGCAGTTCACCCGGCCGTGGTGGCCAAGTCCCAACAAATTCAAACAAGAACTGGCTTAAAAACAGGATTTTCAGGACACTCAACATGTTTTATCCATGTCAGTTGAGGAACACTGTAGTTTTAAAGTCTGCATGAGCCTTGTGTCATCACTTTCTTGGCACAGCCATCACAGAACTGAAAAAGCCAACCAAAGGTGTTTGCTCTGTGATTTGCTGCCTGAAGGGGGTTCACCATATCCCCTGTATCAAACAGAATCAATGATTTGAACTCAGGCTGAGCACCAGATGATCACACTAAATAATTCTCTTTGTAAGCAACGTTTTATTGCACAAGCAGTGAGGTTTCTTCTTGTTTCTCCTCCCCCCTCACAAGTGCCTGAAAGGCATCCTTGACTCCAGTTTTATTTCCAGCCCTTGCAGAGCCCAGGGGAGTGGGTGAGCAGCTGCCTTGGCCCTGCTGCCTTTCTTGCTGCTGGTGAGGAAGCTTTTCCCTGGGATGGAGAGGAGAGCACCCTCTCCTTTTGGCCTTTTGCCCCTGCACCTCCAAATCTGTCCCTGGGTTGGGAGGACAGTCAGCTGGTGGCAATGGTGACAGGATGCTGGGGGAATCCCAGTCTGGGGGGAGCAGAGGAGGTGTGGGCCTGGCAGGAGCGGGAAATGAGTCACAAGGGAGTTTGGGCACTGATTTTTAGGATGCTGAGGAGCTGCAGATGCAGCAGGGCAGCCAGTGCTGTCCTGCACATCCCAACCCTGCACAGAGACCTGGGCACTGCTGTGGGCAGGGCTGGTCCCGTCGGCAGAGCTGATGGAGCTCATCAGCAAAGGGTCATGACTGAATCCAGGATAGGATATGCTGTAATAATGTGTTCAGTGCTTTGATTCACAATGGTTTTTTCTTTTTTCTTTTCTCCTCTTACATCTAAGCAGCCTGAATTGAGGTGCTCCCAGGCTGTGGGAGCTTTCAAGCTGGCCGTGAGCGGCTGGGCTGGGCTCAAGATGCACAAGACAAGCTGGATGAGCACGCCTTTATTTTTTAGTTCCAGAAATACCCATCTAAGAGGTCCGGATTTCACCTGGACGTGTCACCTACGCCACCGCTCCTTGCAGCTGCCCCTCTCTGCCTGCTGTGGAGCGTTCCCTCTGCACGCTGGTGCCGTTAGAGGGCATTTGGGTTCCGTTTTCCATCGCCCCAAGGGTTCCTGCTGAGGGAAAGCGCAGCTGGAGCAGCTCTCCTGCGCCGACTCCTGCACAGCTGGAGCAGCCCCAGCCCGTCGGGAGGCGGCTCCCACTCATCTCGGCGATTTTGTTTTCCCTTTTTTCCCCTGCTTTTCCTTTGGCCTGGGCTCGCAGGGAATGTGCTTGGATGGCGGGCGGTATGTCTGGTGCCGCGGGACGGTGTCTCCGTCTGAGCTCCCCGCTCGCCGCAGCCCTGCCAGACCGCCAGCGCCTGGGAGAGCAGGAGGCCAGGAGGAGAGCGGGAAGGCTCGTGTTTGCTCTGGAGGGATGCAGGGAAGGTGAATTAGAGCTGCCAACAGGAGGGCCCTGCCCGTGCCCAGGAAGGAGCCGCTGGTGGCGGGGTGGGTATCGTGGAGCGGCTCAGCCTGGCGCGGCAGCGACTTGTGGGGTGCAGCCTGATGTACCTGCTCCTTCCCTGGGAGGCCAGGGCATGAGGGTTCCCTCCAGGGATTCGGGCTTCCAGGTGCTGGAGATGGCCTCTCCTGCAGTCCCTGCAGAGCAGAGCTGCACGGTGTGCTGGAGGAGCAGCATCACCTCTGCAGGAGCTCCAGTGATCCAGGAGAGGAGCGATTCCTGGCCTCTTGGGTGGGTTCATGCTTGGGGCAGGGTTTCCCCATTTCCCATTTCATTCAGCCTAAGAAACTCGGGAATGCTGCCCACCAATCCTGCCTGGGTCAGCGGGGTGCACAGAGGAGGCAGGTGCCAAGTGAGAGGGGGGTCTTGTTCTCTATTTCCAGCCTCCTTTGCAGCCAAACTCCATCAGTTCTTCTCTAGTTTCCTGATGGAGACTTCTCTAGTTTCTCCATCTTCACCAAAACCACAATGCCATAGGTTTGTGCCAGACTCTTTGCCGGGATGAGGCGTTGGCTCCGGGATGAAACCAGGGTGGGCACAGCTACAAACGACCTCCTCTTCCCCTCTGGAAAGGCACAGTGGAGAATGATGGGGAGATAGAGCAGGATGTGGCGTGTTCTCTACGTCTGGGGAGGAGGGGCATGTGGCAGCAAGGCTGGTTTACACCCTGTTCACACTGGGGCTGTGCCAGGCTAGTAAAGGGGTGGCAGAACCACCTCTGGAGTGTGCCCAGGGAGCCAGGCAGGAGCTGCAAATGCATCTCTGGCTACAGGGGCAGGCCGAGCTCACCTGTGCGGGTTCCAGGGTGCTCCTGGATTCAGACATCCAGAGACGCCAAAATTCAGGTCTGCACCTGCCATCAGGTGTTTCCCCAGCTGAGTTTCAGGAGATGGTTTATCTGTCCCTGAGACACTCTCAGCTCAAGGCCGAGGAGGGGTGATGGGGTGCCCGCAGTTAAGTGGGGGTCTCGTGGTTGGTGTTGGGTGGCTCTCCCCTTTGTCACCCCCCCAGCTCCACCCTCACTCACCGCCGGGAATGCCGCGGGCAGGGCGGGGCAGGGGCTGAGCATGCAGAGCCGCCTCTGGGTCTCCAGCCGGCAGTAGCGGTTCTGGTTGGACACGCGGGTGGCAAAGCCCACGCCACAGGTGGCCGAGCAGGCGCTCCACTCTGTGCCCCACTCCTGGCAGGGGTATGGCAGCAGTGGGGACACTGGCCTGGGGGCTGAAAGAAAAGAGAGGAGGGGATAAAGGGTGGCTGGAGCCAGGCTCTGGGCATTTGCCCTGCGGTGCTGCGGGCAGAGGAATGTGGGGTGAGGTGTCTCCTGCTGATGTTTCACAGCCTGGGGTGAAGGCGCCATCCCTAGACACCTGCCTGGCCATCCCCTCCCTGGAGGTGCCCTGCATCTTACCTGCCCTGGCGTCCCGGAGGAGGTGCTGGTCGTGGGCTTCGCAGATCCACTCAGGGCAGCACTTGCCGGGGATCTCCACGCGCCGTGGGTAGGGGCAGTCCGGGGTGGGCAGCCGCACGTCCTCCTGGCACAGTGGGATGCAGGTGAACCCCCCGTCCAGGCAGCGGCACTGGAGTTTGCAGCTGGGCTGGAAAACTTCTCCGTCTCGGTAGACCCGGCCGTTCACCTCACAGCCCTCCTCGTCATCCTCGACTGCAGGTGACAGACAGGGACAGAGTGACAGAGATGTGAGTGGCAGAGGGGGCCGCTGGGGTAACTGTGGGGCTGGCACGAAGGGACTGATGTAGAGGGGCCACAGAAGTGACTGGGAGGTATGTGGGGCAGACATGGGTGTGCAGCAGCATGTTCATCACCAAACCTCCTCCCCTTTCCTGCCTTCCCTCCTCATCTCTCTGTTTTTTCAAAGGATCAGCTCACTAGCTGGTGGGAAACCCCCTGCCCTTTGGCTCTGACCCTGCCTTCAGGGTTTCCAGGCTAGACAAAGTTCCTCTGAGGTTTCTCTGCAGGATCACCAGGCTCCAACCCTGGCTGGGTGACTGCAGCATCCCCAGGACCCATCCTCCCTCAAACCACCCTGAATCCTCAGTCAGAAAACAGCACAGCCTAATGGCCAAGCTGTGTGTGAGTTCCTCAGAAAAGCTGCTTTCCTAGTCTCAGCCACTTCCCTGAAAGTGCTGTGGGCTGCCTGTAGCCAGCTGGGTGGCCACGGGTGGAACTGGGGTGTGGGGGCATCCCCGGGGGGAAGGGGCTCCCCTGTGCTCACAGTTGCAGGTGCCTGCTGTCCCGGCAGGTGCCGTGCTGTAGTCACAGACGAGGCCCTGGCTCTGGTCGCAGACGTGGAGGAAGTCACAGGGCTCCCCCAGGCGCCGGGCACAGATCTTGCAGCAGCCACAGCCATCCAGGACCAGGGGGGACCCGCGGGGGCAGCGGGGTGGCACCCAGGGGCAGTAGCATGGTCTCCGGCACAGCTGGGCACACACCTGTGGAGCAAAGACATTGCTGAGTCCAGACAGGTTGGGTTTGGCTGACAGGGAAGTCACTGGAACAGCCAGGTAACCTCTCAATCACAAGGGCAGATTTTCAGTGGAGGGAGGCTCTGCAAATCCATAGGAATATGGTGAAGCAGCCTGGAAACCTACTGTCCCCTTTGAAGGGCACCTATGGAAAACCAGGGAGAATCAAGGATGCTCAGCACCCTGCAAGGCTGGGTCTTAAATGTACCACTGCTCCGAATACACAGGAGGAGAATGGAGCTACAAGGTGGAGCTCCTGTGCAGTGATGGTTATTTAATGAGCTCAGCAGCCCCAAGCAGCCCAGAGGGAGGAAGGGAAAGCAGCCTGCCCCATGCTCTCCTTTGTGCCAAGAAACAGGACTTGCATCCTCTGCTTGTCCCTGGCTGCTGGATCCTCACCTGGCCTGGCCCCGGCGAGGGGCCTGGAGATGGGCACGTTTCCATGGACTGGGAGCTGTGTTTTCCCTCCTGGCTAGACTGGGTAATCACTTTGGCAGGACTGTGCACTGCTGAGCCAGCTGTCTGCCAGGGATGTGCCCACAGGAGTTCACCTGGGCAGGGGGGTGTTTATCCTGTCAGCTCGTCCTGCTTGCACAACCACCCCGGCACACTCTGCTTTTACAGGCAGCTCTTGTGCTCCCCTCGTGCCATATCCCACGGGGCTGTTGCATGCAGAGCCCAAAGCCAAGAGAGCTGGCTCTGCAGTTTGGGACTGAATTCCTTGCCAGTACTGGCCTGGCAGTGCATGTGAGCCCCCTGGTAGCTCTGAGCCCCCCAGGTTTTAGGTACCATTTTCCTTTCATTTGCAGTTCCCTCCCAGTGGCATCAGGTCTGACATGACCAGTCAGACAAAGAGGTAGGTGCTGGTGTGCTGTTTCCCATTTGCAGCCATTCAGTCTTTTATGGGGCTGTCAGTGCCAGCAAGTAGAGATTAAATACATCCAAAATGGGCTGGGTCTTGTTCTAGTTCTATCAATGAGCAGCATTATTAATGTGTCAGAAACCAGAGAGAGACCTCTGGCAGGGACCAAGGGACTGTCTGTGGTGGCCAGGTTTGGGCTGGCAGCACAAGGGCCTTTGGTGACTCTCACAAGCACCTGGGGCAAGAATAATTTCTCTGTCACAGGCAGCCAAGGGCATTTTTCATCTTTCAGGAGGTTGCTATTACAAATCGATGTTTTAGAAGGATTAGCCAAGCCATTAATCCATTTCCCTCTGCCCCTTGTAATTTACTTGTCTTTAGATGACGATGGGGCTCCTATCAGAGACCTGAACTTTCTGGGAAAGGACTCAAATAGGCACAGCGTTGCCACGACATTCCTGCTCGCAGAAGGGATTCAAGCAGCACCTCTAATTAACTTGGAGCTGAGATGCCCCAAACTTTTCAACATTCCTGTTCTCTGCTCAGGCAAATATCTTCACACAGAGTCCAAGAGAAAAAAAAAAATAAATAAAAAATAATAAAACCACTACAACGACCCAAATCCCGTCAGAGGCATTGGCTTGGCGTGAGCGTGCCGAGAAGCAGGGAAAGCTGAGTAATGCCAGGGCTGCTTGGCCCCTGCCTCGGGAGCCTGGGCGGGGATGGAGGAGCCTGCAGGAGCCACTGCTGCCGAGCTGCTGCTCGCTGGCTCCAGGGGACTGAACGTAGCACAGCCCAGAGAGCTGCAGGGACAGCGAGCAAACAGCACATTGCTGTCATTCCTGTGTGCTCCAGGGAACTCACACAGCGCAACCTGTGGCCCAGGAACGTTCAGACCCTGCTGCTTAATCTGGAATATCTCTCCCAAGCACAGCTGTGCCCCCCGTGGGGCTGCATCCACACAGCCTGGCCGCCGGACACCTCAGACCTCCCTGCACGACCCTGGTGCTCCCCAGGTAAGGCTAAAGCTGCCCCAGTGCCCCGTCTCCCTTACCTTGGAGAGGATGCAGAGGAGGGAGAGGAAGAGGAGCTGCTTCTCCAGCTGGAGCCTCATGCTGCTCTCCCCTCTGCCACTTCAGCACATCACCCCCCAGGCAGTTTGGAGGCAGCGCCGTGTTCGCAGGTTTTAAAGCCCGGAGTAGGTCCTGCTGGTGTTTATACTCTCCCTGCTCTGATGTCACTCACAGGCTCCAATATAAACATGAATAGGTTTGGACAAGCCTCAAGATTTTCTTTTTTTTTTTTTTTTCCCTTTCTTTTTCTTTCCAGCCCACATTCCAGCTGCCATTTCCACTCTCCTCAAGGTGAGAATGTGCTTCCAGTGAGACAGTGAGCGAAGGGAAGGGACTCTGTGCTGTCCCTGGGGAGCAGGGGAGAGGGGCTGAGGAGCCAGGCTGGTGGGGTGATCCAGCTCCTTGCTGCTAGCCATGACTGGGAGGGAAGATCCATGCCTCGTGGCCCAAGGATGGATCCTGCTGGCTGTGCACAGACTTTCCATATCCTTCAGGCATCTGCTAGATCCCAGCTATTACATGTTGGCAAACATGCAGGAGGGGCTGGGTGCCGATGGATGGCACCGAAATCACGCAACCAGGAATGACACCCCATCCCTCCCTCCAGCCTCTTTGCCCTTCCTTTTGCTTTTGTGAAACAGGTTCTCAGTCACCTGAGCAGCAATCCCACCCTCAGCTCTGCAGATCCTGGGAGGCAGGGCACGGAGCAGGGAGGGCAGAGCCCGGCAGGGAGGAGCACGGACAGAGCTCTGCCATTGCCACCTCAATTCCCTGCTTTGGTTTTGCTTCCTTAGCTGCAGTCAGGCTGTTAACGAGGTCATGACAGCCTGTGGGAATACCAAACCCCCTTCCAAAGGCTGCTGTCGCTCATCCCAGCGCTGGAGCCCCCACTCCACGTGCTGGAGCCCCAGTTCCCTGCATCACCCAAGCCGTGCCTGGAGGTCTGACCTGCACTGGCAGCCCTGCCTGTGGCTGAGGATGGTACATCGCTCTGAACTCACTAGCAGGGGGATCAGTCCCCACTGACAGGCACTCACAGCCCCAAAGGTTTGGTACTGAAGGCTGGATCTCATCTCGTGGTGCTGCTTTGTGCCCCAGGGCTGGTGCCCTCCCTCTGGATGGCCCAGGAGCAGCACTGAGCCAGCCTTGCCACAGGGGGACAGGGAGCTCCTTTAATTATTCCAGGCTGGTGTTTATTAGGGACTCCTGATTAATGGGCAGGGGTTCATTTCCCAGTTAGAAATCAGGTGACAGTGCTGATAACAGAAATAAAACCCTCTCCATGCCCACAGTGAGTGACTCTGTGAGCAGCCAGCAGAGCCCTGTGTAGGTCTCAGGGGGGGCAGCAGGGCACCCCTGGGGGTGCCTGAGGCTTGGGGCATCACCAGGAAGCTGTCAGAGCTGGGGCAGGGGCAGAGAGCCCGAGTCAAGCCTGAGTCAGGTCAGAGTCGAGCAGCCAGATGGGGCCAAACCCACCATCCCATTCCTGGCCAGCTGCCCACAGTTCCAGTGGCATTGGCAATCCTTGGTGGTGCCTTGCTGGGTCTTGGAGGTGCCCTGTGGAGCTGGTAGGAGGGGTATCCACAAAGTCTACCGTGATCTACCTTCCCAAAGAGGCTTCTCCATGGGTGACATGGGCTTGAGTGTCCCTGCTCCTGTCTCTCTGTGCCCCACGTGCCTGCCCAGGTCACTGTGCTGGTGCTGCAGGCAGAGCCTGGCACAGGAACACAGCCCTTGCTCCAGTTTGGATTTGCAAAGCTGCACCAGAACAGCACATGAGCAGTCCATGTTACAAACACCCCTCTGGAGCACATACTCCATATGTGTTCTGAACCATACGTGTGATTTCAGAGCTAGTAATTAAGTCCATATGTTTTGCTCCACAGTTTCCATGGTATTATTGTCAGGTTTTTTTGGAGATTGTAATTTTTTTTTTTCTTTTGTGGTCAGTTGTGCAAGAAAATAGTTGATACAGGGATCTGAATACATCTCCTTTGAGTTAGCCACTGGCAAGCTCTGCTGTTTCTATAGAAATGAAGGAACTGCCCCAGTGAATTTGCATTTTAGGGAGCTGAGTTTTTTCATGTGCTTGCCATTTAACGTGCCATCATGAATAACATGGCAAAGCTCTCATTTGCACACCCTGCTCAGCTGAAATTGCATCCATCTGGGATGGGTATCCCAGACCATATTCTTGTTCCATCCCTTTCCTTGGCTCCAGACTCCTCTTCTTTACTTTGTATGATGAACCCCCTCCCTGAGCTGTCTGAAATCAGACTGCTGTCTGCGTGTCCATCTCTGGCAGGGAGCACTGGGGCTGTCCTGGGTCCTGGCTGGCTCTGTTTGCCCTCACATCAGCAGTGAAATCACGGGGCTAGGGTGAGCCCAGCTCCATACCTTGGTGGGGAGGGCATTTCCTTTGCTTCTGGGCACTCCTGCCTCAAATCCCTGCTGCAGATTAGCAGGGCTGTCCACGGAGCATGGACATCACTGGTGGCAAAGCTGGACAGGCATCCAGCTTGGAAAAGCAAGAGCCCTGAGCTGAAAAGGAGGTGCCTCAGGTCTCCCTTGGCTGTTGGACACTTTAGGGTGGCTGCTGGATGTTTTTCATGAGACTTCTGGAAACACCGTGGCTTTGGGAAATTTTGAAATATCTCTGCTTTTGGCAGTATGGGAGGGTTGTTTCCTACCCAGAATGAATCTGGCTCCAGTTTCAAACAGCAAGAGCTGAGAGAGGTGGTGATGGCTATTTCCAGCTCTGTCTGGGCACTTTTATTCCCTCTGGTTCTCACACCTTAGCTGGACAGCAGAGCCAGGCTGGGAGGACCCTGAGGGACAAGGGACAGGCCAGGCAGTCTTTTACCTTGAGGTCACTGCTCCCACCCCAGAGCCGGGATGGAGACACTGAAAGTATTTACCATCTGGTGCCTGTCCAAGTGACTTGCAAGAAAAGAATTCAGGGCTGCTGTCCAGTTTCTGATGGCCAGGCCAACTGCACCAGAAACCTCGGCTTCATCTGGGACCAGCTGACCCCTCCAAGCTCCCAGCCACGGTGGCCAGGCCAGCCAGGCAGGAGGCAGTGCCCTGGCCAGAGGGGAAAGGGGAGTGGTGCCTGGTGCTGGGCACACTTAATTCTTCACCATTCCCCAGGCATTTTTAAGTAGGTTTCGTTAGAAAACTGATAAATGGGACTTGGGGCTGGTTCTGGTCTCAGAGCCTGACGTTGCCAAGAGGCAGGAGCTGAGCGATTACAGGAGGACCAAATGGGCTGTCACAACCAAGAAAAGGCTTGGCTTGGCCAAAACTACAGCCAGAGCTCATCCTTCAGACTGAGGGGCTTCTCATCAGCACAGCCCAGCCTTGTACCAGCTGTTGGGAAAGGACAACACTTTTGCTTGAGAAGCACATTAAACCCATCAAACCCTGGGCAGTACTTCTGTGGGATTTTTTTCTTTTTTTTTTTCCTGCAGTCCAGACAAGAGCAATTCATAACTGTCCCCCCTAAGTTAAACATTCAGATAACTCAAAGAATAAGACTTTTGTAAAACAAAGCGTGGAAACTTCGGCCAGATGAGGTTTTCCATTATTATTTGGAAAACAGTGTCAGAAATCATCACGTATCAAACACGAGGATCCTCTGGGAGTTTATTTTTGGTATCAAACATCATCAAACATAAACTCCTTTTAAAAAATCTCTCTAGAAGTTCTATCTTTCAGACAAGATATAATCCCCACATCCTGACCTTGTGTGGTTACTGAAAGACCCTTGGTATTTTTCATGGACCTGCTCAGCTAACTCATGTTTCCCGATCAAATGGCTCATTCTTTTTGACTATCTCTGTTTTTCTTGTGGTTTCAGGCTAAAATAGACAATGTTTTCCCCTCTTGTCTTGCTCGAGGGTGCTGTGTGTTCTCAAGCAGCTGCCATGTCCTTTGCAGCATCAAAGAAGCTGCAAATTGAGGCACACCCTGAGGTACAGCCAGTGATGCTCTCAGGTCTCTCCAAACTCACCTTGTGGATGTGCCAACTCTGCTTTCGAAGGGGGGATGTTTGGTGATGTCTGTGCCTCCTTCCAGCCCTGTTTTCTGTGGCTCTGGTAAGACTTTGGAGGATGCAAGTGCTGCACCCATGAGGAGAGAGCTGGTGCTGTGCCTGGGAAGTGTGTGAAAGAGGTTTGGGTGACTCAGGTTGTGTCTGTTCCCAAACATCACAGCCCTTCACATCCCCAGACAGTGGGGTTGCTCTTGGCTCACCATCAGCAGGAGGAAGGGTTGGGCTTGCTCTCCATCTCCTGAGCAAGACTGGAAAGGCTGAGACCAGTGCTGCCTCTGTGTGCAGAGAGATGCCAGGCCCCCAGCCCTTCCCCATGCCCCCTCCTGATGCCAGAGGCATCTGGAGACATTTTCCAAGCATGAACTTCACATAAACCACCTCCTCTTATCCACATCCCCAGTCAAGCCAATAAAGACACGATTGAAACCTTTAGTGTGTGTGGGATCCAGCTGAGAAAAACAAGCAGCGATGTCGCCTGGAAAGTATGTACCAGGGAGCAGAGAGCTGCCTGTGTCCAAGGGGGAGTGGAGGAGATGGGCACCAGCTCAAACATGACTCAAAATCAGGGGGAAATTATTTCTGATGAACGTAATTACTTCGGCTCCAGCCCTGATCAATACGAGGAGCTAAAACGCTCATAAACCGGCCGAGAATGCGAACTATGCAGGATGATTTGTGAGAGGTGTTTGGCTGGGCATGCTCTGACCCAGCTCTCAGGCTGCCCAGGGACAGGGGGACCTGGTGCCCTGGGAGGTGGGAGAGCAGTGACTCGCTGTTTGCAAACTGGTGAGCCCCAAAATGAGAATCCCCCCCAAAAGGAACAGGGAGGGGGCTGCCTCGTGCAGGTCCTAATTAAAAGCAACCAGCCTGCTTGGCTGGGCTCCTGTGCTCTGACCACAAAGCAGGAGACAGGACTGGCCCTTTCCAGGCTTCTGCTGGCCCCCACCAGCGTGGGGAGGTTTCAGGCACCCAGCACAGCCCAGGCAGGGGCTCTGAGGGGGCAGTGGGGAACTGCAGGACCGCAGGGACAGAGTTGGAGGGGACAGTGTCCTCAGACCTCACACTGTCTGAGCCCGAGCTGTGTCATGTGTGGTGC